AAAAAAAAAAAAAAAAAAAATCACTACTTGATAGAATTAAGATCTGGCAGCTCTGTGTCTGTTCCTCAAGGTTAAGGAGTCATAGCTGGGTGATGGGCATACGTGTGCTCACTAATACTTTTCTCTCTACTGTTGAGTATGTGTGAAATTTTTCATATAATTTTTTTAAAAGTCTAGATGGGTTGAAAATTGAAATATTAAAAATTAAATTACAAAGGGATTAGGGAGAAAAAGAGGAAGGTGGCAATTTGAGAAATCTAGAAGTTTTATGATGGTGAGGCCACTGCAGAGCTTTTGAAGTCACTCTCCTCCTTAAAGCCTGTCAATGGCTCCCCATGGTCCTCAGGAGATAGGCTCAACTCAGATGCCTCCTCCTCCAGGGAGTTCTCCCTGACTTCAACCCTTCTGGTTAGGCTAGGAGCTCATCATAATTGGAGACTTTGGGTGCCCACTTATGTTGGACGAGGTACTGCATTATTTCTTTTCTTTTTAATATTTATTTATTTGGCTGCACCAGGTCTTAGTTGAGGCACCTGGGATCTTCCTTGCGGCATGTGGGATCTTTAGCTGCGGCATGCAGGATCTAGTTCCCTGACAAGGGATTGAACCTGGGCTCCCTGCATTGGGAGTGTGGAGCCTTAACCACTGGACCACCAGGGAAGTCCCTGCATTATTTCCTTTAATTATAGTGCACATGGCTCTGTGACCCACCTCAGTCTGGGATGGAGGAGCCTGAAGCAGATACCGGCAAGTCCTTTGATGATGAATGAGTAAAGGGATGCACGGATCAGTGGGTGGCTGGGCCACCTCCTCCCCAGGAGGGCAGATGCCAGCCTTGGCTGCCCCCTCCTGCCCACACACTCAGAGATGTCCCTCTGAGGCACCACCCCCTGTCATCAACAGCACTGACTTGTGCCAGAGGACCAGAATTGGGACACGGACAGGCAAGAGAGAGACCAGATTGAATAGGACGAAGGCTTTGTGCTGGATTACTTGGAAAGGAAAGGCAGGAGATAGGTAGGCTTAAGACTTCCTCACCAGACAAAAGGTAGCCATTGGAAGAACAAGGCGGGCCCAGCTGCAGGGAAGGGTCACACCAAAGAGCATTGTCAGAGCATCGGTGAGTCAGAAAGACCAGGAGGTCTTTAAAAAGAATTTGTAATGAAATTAACAATGAATTACTGAGCATCTACTGTGTGCTAAGTACTAGGTACTGTAGTACAGCAGTGAATAAAACAAAAACTAACCTCAAGAAGCTTTTAGCCCAATGGATCTAGAAACAGAAAGTTCAGTTTTCAGTCCTGCTCAACAGCACAGGGTTCATCTCATATTTAATGTTATTTAAAGCATCACGTTGTAGAGAGTGCTTTTACTGTCCCGGGGCTCCCTGCAGCCTCTGCCATGCTCCTAGGTCCAGTCGCCAGGCACTGCCCCTCTGGTCCTATGCTACTGCTATAGCGCAGCCTTGCTGCTCTTAATCCAAACAATCCTTTTGAAAGTATGGCCAGCCCTGAATTCACCCTTCTGTTGCTCTGAAGCTTTTCCTGGCCCTCGCTGTCTGAGGATGTACCCCAAGTTCCTTTGTGTATCCTCCAAAGCTGCTACGAGTCCCTCCCATTGTTTTCCCCCCAGACCTGTGATCACCACGACCTGGTCCTCCAACAGATGTGCCTCCCCCAACCATGCTTCTGCAGTTCCCTCTGCTGGGTATGCCTGCCTCTGCCCCACCCCGGGCTATCTGTGTGTATGTTCCTCTCCCTAACCCTCTGCACCAAGCACGTCTTCTGAACTGGTTTCAATCTTGACTGTGTTCTTCACTAGCTGTGTGGCTTGGGCAAGGCTCTGAGCCTCTTCCGAACAGAAGAATCAAGACAAGTAACATCTGCCCTTGGTTGCTGCCTTCCTAGAGGCCCAGTGCCCTTCAGGGCATGGACACAGGTGGGTAGGTATTATCACCAGTACTTTACAGACAAGACCTGGAGATTCAGAGGGGCACTGATCACCCAGCCAAGGTCACTCAGCCAATACGGGTGTCTAAATACTTTCTGGGTCTCAGTTAACTAACATGAAATGTTGGGATGATAATCTACAAGCAATGAACTCGTTCTAGATTCTGCTTCTAGCCACAGGCTCGCTGAAAGGGGTGAGCTGGGGCAGAGGCATGTTTGCACCAGAGACCCAGCTCCCCAGGTGCTGGGGTTGACCCAGTTCAAGCTGAGCTCCATTCTCCCTGCCATTTGGCACGGGGGCTCAGAGAGTCTGAGTCAGGGAGGTGGAGGGCCAGCTGGGGCGGGTACATAGGGGTGCAGTGGGATGCTGAGCATTGGGAAGGCAGCCCAGGGGCCAACTCCAATGGTCCTGCCATCCCGCTACCCCCAGGGGCCAAGCTCTGTCACTTTTCTCAGGCCTGGCCTCTGGGAGACAGCCTGGGGAAGCCCCGCAGTGAGCCTGCCTCCTGTCGTTGAGGTGGAGTGGTCATCTCTGACCAAGCCAGTGCCCCCAGAGAAACCTGCCATCCTCCCTGCACGGGGTCCTCTTTACGACTCCAGGCCCGGCACCCATCTGAGCGTTGGGACTGTTGGTTTCCCCCGGGGCGTCACCTCTCCCACCACAACCCAACCTGCTCCAAAGCCCCACCCTGGGGTCTCAGGTCTCTCTCCCTGCCACCCAGACCTAGGCCCACGGTTCTGTTCTCCCTGTCCCGTGGGTGGAAATGTAACCTGCTCAGGAAGAGCCCGACCACTCTGCGGTCTGCTTTACTTACCTGGTGTTGCCCAGGTGGAGTCTGACGTCTCCCACAGACGTCAAAGCCGGGACCTTCTGCTCCCTGCGCACCCCCGCAGGCTGGGCACAGACCAAGTGCTCACTAGATTCGAAGAGGCTCCTGCGTAAATCCTTCCGCGAGGCAAAACAAAGACCCCCCGCGTCTCTGCACTTCTCCTCCCTCACGAAACTGGGCGCGCAGATTGGGACACCTGGCCCCTCACTTTGTCCCTGTAACATCCTGGTACTGCCGCCGCCTTTGAGAACAAAGTGATCATCACGGACGGGCGACCCCTCAACCTCTATAAAATTCAGCCGTGGACAATGCGGGCGTCGATCCCACTACCCCTCACATGCTAAACGAGTGCTCTACCACTTGAGCTAATTCCCCCACTCTAAAGAACTTCCGCCGCCGAAACACATTGTGGCTCACGTCATCACCGGCTTCCTCCAGGCCCTCCGACCCGCCTGCCCGCCGGTCTCGCTACCCCATTGGTTCTCTTGCAGCTCCCAGAGCTACGGCCATGATTGGTTTGGCTCAATTTAGTTTTAAAAAGCATTGGCTATCGGATTGGTGGTCCGAAGCGTCCGTCAAGCGGAGGCCCTGCTGTTGCTACGGCGTAGGGGGACCCAGCCAGGTTTCTCTCGGTTTCTGATTTGTTTCTCCACACTCCGGGGTCCTAGAGGTTCCGGATCCGTCAAGTCCATGGGAAAAGAATGCCCCCCTCGCACTTGACGGACGGGGTCTGCGAGCCAATCGGAGTGGGTGCAACGGGGCAGCAGTGTGACCCAATAGGTTGCAGGGGGCGGGAGAGGGAGGCCAATGAAAGTGGAGCCGGGGGCGGGGGCAGGGCCTTGATTGGTCGCGAGGCGGCCGGAGGGAGGGCGGGGGGAACTCAAGGCCTGCTTGATACGTCCGCCATTTTGGGCGCTTCGCTGATGGTGTCGGTGAGCGTGTTTCCCGCCTGAGCGCAACTAGCGGCGAGTCGCGGGCACCTCCAGGTAATGGGGGGAGGGGGCGGCGGAGCGGGCCGCGGCGCGGGGTGCGCGGGGTGTGCGGCGCGTGGGCGGCGGCGGGGCCCCTCAGCCCGGCCTCGGCGGCTCGGGGAGGGAGCGTCCCGGCCCCCTCCCCTCCCCCCCGGAATTCGCCGCTGGGCGGCCGGGGAGGCGCGGCGCCCGGGCTCCCCGGCTCGTCCCCGCCCGCGCCTGTCAGCCGCTTGCTCGC